GAAAGGAGTCGAAAAGAGGAAATTGGGAGGTGTGAGTGAATCAAGAGTGAAAATTATCACGTGAAAATAACACGGGGAGCATTTTTGGACCATGCGCACAGCATTTTTTTTTCTCTTCGATTCCTCTCTCCAGCTCAAAATTCAAAAAAACTGCATGTGCCCGAATAACTGCCCGAGCAATATTTGGCTCCTCTTGTGACCCACTATGACTGCATAAGAACCTTCTCAATAAGCATGATAAGCATATGATAATAAAGCTCTCACTTTTGATACTTGACAAAATGGTATATTCAGAATCCTCATAAAAAACTGGTGTAGACAGTGTCTTCAAAAATTAATTATATTATTACTATTTCTTTTGATAAAGTTACGACTACTTAAAAGTTGGATAGTTTTACTAGTAGTATTATGCAGTAAAAATTAGAATTATAAAAATTCCTTAAGCTGATTTTTTAATTTTGGGACCGAGGATGGAATATGGTTTTTGACCTCTCTGTTGCAAAATCTTAGCGCATGGAAAATCGATGCGCACCCCCTCTACTTTATGACCCCTGGTACTTATCACATACGTACCAAAAGTGCTTAAAAAATGAAACATGTTTTGAACAAAACAGTGTACATACGAAGTATGAGTACTTTCTCCAGTCAAAAATAGATGCACCGTATGGTAGTACCAAGTGACTTTTTTGAGTGGTCCTGGAAGACCGTCCATGTTACAATGACTATCTAGGGTTGTGTAGAATTAGTACCACCAGAAGACTTCTTTTCACTATTAATCCTGCTGTCAACTACTACTAATTGCTATTCAGGATAACATACTCTAGTAGTAGTACTGCTGATAGTTTTAGATACTAGTACTGTTGTTGTTGCTGCTGCTACTACTAGTACTATTCATCAGCTGTCACAGCCTCCTTCTTGTTGTCAACTAGAAGTAGTAATTCTTGTCCTTGAGCTCTTTCTTCAAGACAAGAAGAACCACCACCATTCAACGACCACCACCACCAGCATCTGGAGGGGGCCCCCTGATCATGTGTTTTTAATACCACATGACATTCACAAATCTTTATAATGGTAAAAGTAAATAAAACTGTTAAATATATAAAGGAATGATGGGTTCTCCTTTCGGGGTTGTTATACTAGTAGTAGCTAATAGTATGAATGATCCATTGTTCAGGGGATCGTCAAAAATAAAGTTACTGATTAACTGAGTCGCTGTTAATAATTAACTTGAGTAATTAACATGAGTAATTAAGCTAATTAACTCAGTTGCCATGAGTAATTAACAAGAGTAAGTAAGATATTTAACTAATGTCACCAGTTGTACTTCTGGTAGTAGTAATATATTTTTTGTAATTAATTAAATTATTTACTACTAGTACTACTCAAGTTAATTACTCAAGTAATTAAGTTTAATAACCCTTTGCACTGATATACACCAGCAGAGTTAATTACTCAAG